GTGGAGGCAGCTGCCTCAAAGAAGACCATCCCTACAGTAATCAAGGTGGAGACAGCTGCCTCAAAGAAGACCATCCCTACAGTAATCAAGGTGGAGACAGCTGCCTCAAAGAAGACCATCCCTACAGTAATCATGGTGGAGGCAGCTGCCTCAAAGAACACCATCCCTACAGTAATCATCTTAGAGGCAGCTGCCTCTAATTAGGGTTTGTCTTTATTAGGCGCTGGAGAACTTCTGAAGATAAAAGGATGATGGATGGTACCAAATATAAACAGATGTTTGAAGAAAACTTCCCGCCAGAAAACTGGGAACAAAATTTATTTTAAAACTAGAAACTGACTCAAACACTGCCAGAGCAAAAGTTGATTGGATAATGAATAAAAAAGTAAATGGCCCAATGAGAGCATAGAACTGAAAACCATGAAGCACCTTGAAGAGGGCAGTTCACTGACTGTCCCTGATATATGAGTGAGCCCTGTAAGGAGGAATGGGCAAATTTAGCACTTATGGCAGCAATTACAAAAGGTTCTCAAACTTGTGTACACTTATCCAACATATATTTTGTAGTTTTTACTTTTAATTAATTATCAGAAAATTGTAGAATTTATATTTCACTTGGTGCTGTTAAAACATGTAAATAATAAGGGAGGGAAACATTTCCTGATTGTTTTTTACTCCTTCTATCAAAATACTATTATACTGCAAAATACTACAATGTTATTTAACTATATTTAAACTTTAAACAGTCTAAATATTAAAATGGTAGTTTTTATTGAAATCTGTACCCAGTCTGGTTTTCCGTTCCAAAATGTAAGTGTATTAAACTATTTTGAGACTTTGAGCGGTTACTGACGTGAAAATGCCTTATGTCTCTTCTCTGACTTGTTCAACAGCAGTCTGAGTTAGCAAATGTAATAAATTAAATAAGCACATTTATATAGATGCCTTTGATCTTGTGTTGCACCACCCTTCGACCTTTGACCTGTGTGCCCTCTTCCCCAGTGCTCTGTCCCCTGCGGGGTGGGTCAGAGGTCACGGGAGGTACGCTGCATCAGCAATGTGGGCGACTCTGTGGCTGAGGAGGAGTGCAACACGAAGCTGCGACCAGGCGACATGGAGAACTGTGACATGGGCCCCTGTGCCAAGAGCTGGTTCTTTACCGAATGGGCCAGCCGGGTATGCCCCCCCCCCCGACGCTCCACCCTCTCACATCAGTGCCTGGCTGTTGTAACTGTGTTCCCTGTGCGCCCCCTTGCAGTGCTCGGCAGATTGCGGATTCGGGGTGAAGACCCGTGGCGTCCTCTGCTTGACCAATCACGTTAGCAGCTTGCCGCTGGATGGCTGTGGGCCAGAGCGCCCCCCAGAGTCCCAAGTTTGTAACAACGGGCCGTGTGAGAATCAAATAGAGTGGTTTACGGGACAGTGGAGTCAGGTGAAGCGTGAATTGTTGTACTTGCTGTGTTCTGTGTATCTGTTTTTCTTTAGCTACAGGCTAAACAGAAAAGGACTGATGCTGTAGCATCAATAACAAAAAAGAGATTATATACATTAGCATATTATGTATTCAGGATGTCATGCTGGCTTGTTGAGGCCTCAGGGCCGCCCAGTGGGGCACGTTCCCTGAGGTGGTTGGTGTCAGCCTGAGAGGTGACGCTTCTTTCTGCGTGTTTCCTCCTATAAGTGCTCTGCAGAGTGCGGGCACGGCCGGCAGCAGAGGGAGGTGGTGTGCCTGATGAAGTCTGACAAGGGTTTCTCACTTCTGCCCCCTTATGAGTGCTCCTCCCTGGACCAACCCCCCACCCAGCAGAGCTGCCAGTCCAAGGCGTGCAGCGCCAAGTGGTACCACACTGACTGGAGTTCTGTAAGGAATCACGCAGAGCGCGGTTAACCGTCAGTGTTCTGTGTTTCTGACCCTCAAACACCCTGCTGTCCAATAACACAATTGCATGGGGAGGTTCTGTAATCGTGTGTTGGTTTAATGTGGAACTCATGAACCCCTGCCCAGTGCTCCAAGACATGTGAAGGCGGGTTCCGGGTTCGAGAGGTACGCTGCCTCTCGAATGACATGGTGCCCAGCGAGGCCTGTGATGCACGGCTACGTCCAGAAGAACGAGAGAGCTGCAGCCCGGAGCCCTGTGCCCCAGAGATCGGTCAGTGACCATGTACATTTAGCCACACCCACAGCCCCACCCACTCTCAGCGATAGGTCAGTGACAATGGACTTAGTCACACCCACAGCCCCACCCACTCTCAGCGATAGGTCAGTGACCACATACTTAGCCACACCCCTAGCCCCACCCTCCGTACCAAAATCAAAGTCAGTGATTATATGCATAACTTGCCCCCCCTACTATAAGTACATACTATATACTATATATGCTCATAGCAAATGTGTAGGCCACACTGATGTTCTCAGGTGCTATGTGACAAACACGTCTGACAGCACACCTTCTCTTTCTGATTTTCAGATGAGAACTGTCGAGACAAATACTATAACTGCAATGTGGTCGTTCAGGCTCGGCTGTGCGTGTACACTTACTACCAGACGACCTGCTGTGCGTCCTGTACCCGGGGGGCCCAGCGGCACCCGGGGTACTGGGGGACCAGATGACTCTTCGCCCTGGGGGTGTCAAAACCTTCTCTGGACCAGAGGGGACAGTACAGATGATGTGGGTGTGCAGCTGCAGCAATTTTCAGAAAATACTCTAATAAGCGAGAAGCACCTTGGGCCGACTTAAGGAGGGACGACAATACACAGACACAAAGGACAAAACTGAAAGTCTTCTCCTTCAGTGCTGCAGTGTTAGTGAATCATCCGGACTCTTGGCTGGGAATCAGAGCTGAGCGAGAGAGAGAGAGAGAGGGAGAGAGGGAGAGAGAGCAGGAGAAAGCTGTGCCCATCACTCACCTGAGCCTCAGAGCACCTGGGAAACAGAACTCACAGAAATCCTGGTGTGGACACATTCTTCAGGGGATCTGGGGTTAGCTTGAGAGGGAGTGGAAGTGTTGTTGTTCATTGGGAAGATTTCGCAAAGTTCACACTCAAGGACTCATTTTTTTAAAATTCCAATATGTATAAACTGTATAGTTTTTGTATGTCATGCCTGTATTTATAAAATGGTGCGTTATATACAAATGCCAAATTTTCTTAAATGTTTATTAAACTGATCACAATTTATTGTTCCTGAACTAATTTTATTACAATGGCTCAAGTTGCCCATCATTGGCCTTCAATGTTGGGCACAAAGATTGAATAACAGTTAATTTATTTTGCATTATTGGAGCACATCCTGAAAAGGTCATTTTGTTCTCTGCAGCACTTCTCAGCTGAAAATAAGTCCCAGTTTTGCCATTTGTGAAATAAAGTCACTGCATTAAGTCACTTTAATGGGTCGTGTTTTTAAATTAGGCTTCACTTGCCTACTCACAGTGCTTCTGGCAATTATTTTGGCAATACCCTGAGCCACAGTAAGGAAAAGGGCTTCCTTCCTATAAAATCGCCAGTTCAAAAGGAGAAAGTGGAACGTAAAACCGATTCCATAATTTCATCATTATATCTATAACTGTACTCATTACCTCCTTGGGAAGAGTACATCGACCCTTCCACATTGCTGGAGCCCAGGTCTGCAAAAACCGCTCAAATTTTTTGGTTCCCTTGTAGAACAAAGTGAGAATGTGAAAAGATACATAAAAATGCAGGATATACTAAGATCACTGCAAGATCACAGTGAGATGCACGTGAGAGGGTGCTGTGAACAAACATGGCATCCTCCAAACCAACACTCAACATATATTTTACGCATCTATGAGTTGCTAAACATTTTGTACCATCTGCTGGTGAGCACTGGGGAAGAGGGGACAGACAGGTCAAAGGTCAAACGGTGGTGCAACACAAGAATAAAGGCATCTATTTAAATATACTACATACTATATGTTTGTAGAATATACTATTTGCATATTTACTTTATGTCAGTAGATTTTGTCGACCAGGGCACATAGGCAAATTTCGAGAGGGGTTCACATGCCAAACCGAGTGACACCAAGAAAACACTCAGATTCTAGTCAAAGAGCAACCATGCCACCCTGTTCCTAAAATAAAACGTCAGTGTTTAAGGTCATACAAGTTTTTTTTTGTTCAGTGGTATTGCATTCTGTAATGGGCTATACCAATTTTGTTCAGTAAATTGCTTTTCAGCTCTCAAAGGAAAAAGTTTCATTGTTGTCAGAATACTGTATTCATGGATTTTCCCTCCACGGCCTGGAGAATTCATTCTTTGGCCACACACTTTCAAAAGTCTGGCCATCTCTCTTGGTGTGCCCATGACTAATCTGCATGAATTTGTAGGCTAGTTTATATGTTTGTTATTTATATATACGATTCTAAGGCCTTCTATATTGATAGCATTAGTGGACCTCAGAAATTACATACTGGGCAATTCATTCATCTTTCCTGGTCCAGGTTTGCTCCTTCCTGCCCTAAGAATGGTATCAGGATGGAGTTGAGAAAATAATTGCTATTTCTTAAATGTAGTTAAGTCTTTGTTAGCATTTAAAGGAGGATCAGACATCCACACATCTGAATAAAATGTTTCATGTGACCTCAGCAATGATGGAGACAAACACAGTGTCACCATGCTTTGTATCTTAGAATGGACTGGGCATAACTGTTCCAACTTTCAAAGATCAGATGTAGCACAGTTAAAAACATATGCTAGCTAGAGCTTATTTTTTTCTTATGGGAGTTTTACTTACACGAAAATGTTGTGAGGGCAGAAGGAAAAATGATTGGTTCAGAAATATAACCAATCATTTTGTAGAGGAAGTGGGTCCACGCAAGTACAGCATGTTATATCCAGTCCATTCTAGGATACAAAGCATGGTGCAGTTGTGACACTGTATTGGTTTCCATCATTGTTGAGGTCACATGAAATAGTTGACATTTTCAGTATATTTAGATTGGCTGGGCCCATCTCCTCTGGTTGCTTGGACCCACCTCCTCTACAATCTGATTGGTTATCAGTCTGAACCAATCATTTTTTTTTATCAGAAATCATATTTGCTTCACAACCCGAAATGAGAATATCTGTGCAGAAGAGATCTCCAGCTGACTTAAAGGTTAAACCTTGTTTAAAGTTCCCCAATCACAAGCTAAGATTGTCCGGTTGAATGGACTGGTTTCAATGACTTGCCTTGAATTACTTCTATATATCGGAAGACACTCAGAAGACTGTAGCGATGTGTTGCCTCATATCGTAAAGGCTGAGAATTATTTGAACCACAAGGTGGCGGTATTTACTTGAGTATGACCTACAGAGACTCTTATTAACAGACCTCACTGGTCAGTAGTACAACAAGCTTTCTCTGCTCATCAAAATAAAGAAGTATAATTCAAGAGTACTTCATGCATTAGTATGTGCCACATGGTGTGCAGATTGTGTTGCTGTTTAGACTATTGCAAACATTCCAGTGTGGGGGGACACCAACGTGTGTCAGCCAAATGGTTTGAGCATGTTTATAATCTCCTTACAAAGAAGTAAGAAAATGAATCTACACTTTTTGTGTAGATTGTGAATTTAGTGCAACACTAGGCCACACTCCAGGGTTAGGCATTTGGATCATATCTATTCTGAGCCCAAGTGCAAAGCTCTTGTGTCTGATCAATAGCTGGACCATGTAGATTTCTTGTCCATTCCCTGTCCTTTCCTGTCCATTAACCTATTGTCCAGTAATTGTTTGTCCAGTACTTTTGCATTGTCCAGCAATCTGTTGTCCCCTGCACTGTACACTATACAGAACTTTGTTGCCTTGTGCTACATGTTTTGTTGTTAGAAGATGGATCTAAGGAGTAAGAGATTTGGAAGAAGATTTATTTACTTTACTTGGCAAATACAATAAAGATAAACAACTGGATAATCTCTGTGTCTGTTACCAAGTGACTTTAACCTTTAAGATGGGGCTGTTTATAAATGCTGCTCAAGTTATGGAAAGATACGGTAGGTTCTCAGCTGAAATTTACTCGATAATGTACATTCTCTCTGTGACCATCCCTGTACCTGACTCCCTGCATTATACCCATGCTCTGTCTCTGGAAGGACCTGCTGGACACCTGCAGGGCTCTCAGCTCAGCTAGGCCCGAATGCTGACGGCTCCGAGTGTGTGTGTGTGACTGGGTATACCTTACCTTATGGGGACACAATGTCCCCACAACGTGATGAATACCCATTTTTTTCCCCTTATGGGGACCAGGAAACTCAATTTAATAAAAAAAATCTATGACTGCAATGATAAAATTAAAAATGCAAAAACTCTTGTATTTTGCTTGGTTACTTATGGTTATGGTTAGGGCTGGGTAGGGGTTAAGGTTGTCATAGTTAGCATTAGCGTTTTTCCTATAGAAATGAATGAGCGGTCCCCATAAAGATATGTTTACCCGATGTGTGTGTGTGTGTGTTTGAGCTTCCTGAGCGCTCCGTCAGTGCAGATCAGCCGCAGGGAACACACTTTTTCATGCAGCACAAGAAGAAAACATATTTACAGGTATCTGTCTCTACTGATATTAGAATGCAGTGCAAGTTTACATGCAGCCCCAGTGAGCAAACTTCATAAAGCTCCATGCTTCATTTTTTATTGCCAGAGTAAATCAATAAGTTTATTGATTGATATGGCATTGTATTTCAACCATATAATTTCTGTAAATGATATACAATGTGATTTATTTTTATTTGCTCCTAATTTTTGCCTGACACTCTTGAAGGCATCAATGCCAGGGCCATAAACACCATTGTACCCAACAATTTTTTTTCCTGAGGGCCAGATTCGATCAGCCACACAAAGCCAAGGTCCACTGCATCCGGAAAAAAAGCCCCAAAAACTGCACACCAGCGGGATGTCCCCGACAATAACATTTGCTAGTGATGACCAAATGAAGCTTCATGAACCATTTGCTGTATTGTCTGACACCACCAGATGGTGCTCTTGATTTACATTGGGGCATACTTTGAGCTCTTTTTTGAATAGAAAGCACCATCTAGTGGCATCAGAAAATACAGCAAATGGTGCATGAAGCTTCACTTGGCCATCACTAAAATTTGCTAATCATGAAGGGATAATTGTGTGGTTTGCCAGTTGGTGACTGCTGGTTTCGAGCATTCAGTGTTTAAACACCAGCTGCTTAATGTCTGCTTTTATCCAACATAATCTCGCCAGGTTAATGACCTTTCTCTATTATACAGCGGCAGGAGCACAGTCTGCAGACAATGATCCCAGCAAAGCTGAGAATGACAGCCAAGACCATGCATTCAACATTATTTTCTTCTGGACAGATTTTATCACAGGCCGTAGTTTCAGAGATTGACAGTGTCCATAAAGGGATTCGTTGTCTCTGAGCCACACTGACCTCTGGATATCCTCCCACGTCATGCACGTCGATGCCCATCAGGTGGCCCAGGCCGTGGGGCATGAAGACGTCACCCATGTTTGCCTTGAGCATGTCGTCCACGCTCCCCTTCAGAATTCTGATCTTTACCAGCTCCTCCAGCTGCACACGATTGGTCAGGTGATGCATGTCTGGCCACAGACACATTCAGCAGGTGAGGTACTCATTGAAATGGTGTTTGCCACCAGCTGACACGTCCTGCACTGTCAAAGCACTGCTCACTTGGTCCATTTGTAAGTAGACTGTTTACAGTGGTCACTGACACTGATGCTCCCAGTGGCCAAGTTAGGAACTCAGCTTAGGAAATCCAATTATAGGGTCAACGGGGTAGGGGATTTTGTGGAAGCTAGTGAGGTATGTTAGGACTTGAGAACAGCCTTGTAGGCGGTATTCTGGTCATTGGCCAACTTCCTGTTTCCTGGAAGGACCAGGTGATGTCTGAGCAGTGGCAATAATACTCTGCACCAATGTCAAAAAGACTGCAGTGAAAGCAGAGACAACAAAAACAATAACAAAAAAGACAACAAAATGACAAAAAAAGAACACGTCACACCACAAAAAGTAAGCCATTAAAATCTTATACACACAAAAAAAAACAATGAATGCTAATAGATATAACACTGACTTTCAAAGACCAATGTAATGTCCTTATGTAGGTACTCATCTTACAATAATAAGCCAAACGAAAACAGGTTTAGTTTCTAACACAGATCACTGCAGTGTCCCTGCTGGCATTTTTGGGATGAAAGCCTCCCAGATCAATCATTTGATCTATTTATTACTGATGAATAATTAAACTACTGTAACAGTCTCGGATAGCTTCAAATATTCTTTAAGTGGCCCCAACATCTGATATAAAAACTGGCCAAATAGAAATTTTAACACGATCCGTTCCCGGAGCGATGAAAAGGCTGGGAATTTTTGGAAGTCTGTGTGGCAATTCTGATCAGTGC